GAGAGAGAGAGAGAGAGAGAGAGAGAGAGAGAGAGAGAGAGAGAGAGAGAGAGAGAGAGAGAGAGAGAGAGAGAGAGAGAGAGAGAGAGAGAGAGGGGAGAGAAAAAGAGGAGAGAGGATAGGATAATGGAGAAGGTAAGAGTAGTTGGTGAAGTACGCTCACACCGAACCCGACTAGCGAAGTACACATAGCCCAAGCGATAAAGTTTCAAATATTACATGAAGCACATTACCCAACTCCACGGGAGATGGAGCATATCAGGCGCAACAGCGCGAGAATGCATCCAACTCTTCCCAGGAGAAGTACGAATCGGCCACGCCCGACATGTTTCGACTGGCGCCGAAATCCAGTCATCATGAGGGGCATCGCAAGGCACTGAGTGTGTAATCGCCAAGTCGAACCAAGCTTAAATAGGAAGAGTCCGAAGTACATCTACTACTAGTAAGCAGGACAAAGGTCTATGTGAGAAATTTGTCGACGATAACCCAAGCCAGACGCCCAGTTCCTTACTGACTATAATGACGCAGGGCAACTTGTCGACGATAACCCAAGCCAGAACTGAGGGGACTGACTGCCCATGTCATGAGATTGGAAATGTACATCATAGGATCATGGTGTACAAGTAGACGCTATGATTAGATTCCATTGCTTTCCTCTCTAGTTATATGATCTTCCACATCGCCTCGCAAATAGCGGTGCAGGCTTATCCTGACCACAATAGCAACACTTGATAAAAAAAGAAGAATTGGGTAACTGGAGCCTACCGTGAGGTGTTTACCAACATTCGACCATTACCATCTTCACCCTGAATAGACAAGTCATTATCGTCGTACTCAATAAAAAGTTGCGCTGGATACAACAGGAGTAATGTCACTTTCTATTTTGGCAAAGACGGTAGGCATGTACAAATACCGTTATCTGCCGTTGAAAAATGGAGGGTGTTATGACACCAAAAGAAAAGGAACACAATACCGCTCGACGATTCTCCAGTGATGACCCGTGCATGGCCAAAGCCCATCTCCATTGTATGAACAACTATGCTCAACTTGTTCTCTGATATATCAGTAAATCTGATTTAGATCCTGGTGGGTCATTTACTGGCCCATTGACAACTTGACAGTGATAGCAGGATGCATAAGTGCCCTCCCTCCTTCATTTGCCCTCATAAGAGTCATAAGTGGCCTCATGTATGGGTGGTATTTGTGGTGCATACATTTTCACATTTGAGGTTGCCAGTGCAACTCTCCAGGTAACACTGCTCTGTCATTTAACCCCCACAGTTTAGTTGTTGCATGAGCGGTGCCGAGGGGGACAGCATATCAGAGCCCATGCGTTTCCTGCTGTAATTTGCCAACTTGTTGAATAGCCTTGTTAGTGTTGCCACCATATATTTGCACAACTGGGAGAGGCAAATGTACAATACGTACTTCTTTAGGCAACATCGCTTAGCCTGACTATCTGCAACCTACGTATTTGGTACAAACTGGCAAAGCACTTTTGAAATTCAAGTTTGCAAGTTGAATCCATTGCAAAAAAGGAATTTGACCAAAAGGTTGATACACTAGTAAATTCATGAGACTGCTGAATAGGCCACTGACCCAAAATTCTTCATCGCTAGCTCTCCTTAGGTTATGAATGTCGGTGCATGTCAAAGCAAAGGCCTCAGAAGTATTCCTAGTGCCCTGCTTTGTCCCATAAGGTCGAGCTTACGACACATGAAATCTCAGGTATGCGGCGTATTTGCAAGTACGAGGCCCAGCAGCCTAGCTTAGTTGGTAGAGCTGCTAGAGCATACTAGTGGCATTTGACTCCCTGCACGTCATCCATTTGACTCCCTGCGCTCTCACCAGCTGAGGGAGTTGCCTTGCTCCCCCTGGTTGGTCTTTGGAGGGGCTTTGCCCTCGTCCCTTCCATCCATGGCTAGGGGTTAGGCTCAACCCTAAGGGGATAGGTTCAGCCCATGCTAGCAGATTTACCCCTTAGTGCACTTGGGGTAGATAGGTAGGCAGCAGGATCCTGTACTGCGAGGGGATAGCGTGAGGTATGTAGGTAACAAGGGTGAAGGGAGGAAAATGTTGAGAGAAGAGAATAGCATCATGAATACGGCTGTCCCTCATACATGAGGAGAAGACAACAACTTAGAAAAAAAAAAAAAGAGAGAGAAATCCGAGGGACTGGCAACTATCACAACCATCAAGGGGTCATAGGGAACTACAATCTGGGAGCTTAGCAGAACCAGTTTAAGCCACCAGTACCTTCTCCAGCTATCAAGTCTGACCCTCGGGCTACTGGTATGCCGCGCCCTACCGGTAGCGGGCAAGTTATCGTTCGGTAAAAAAAAGGCAAAAATGGAAATACAAAAACTAACGAGATTCTTAAAAAAAAAAAAAAAAACGACAAAAGAAAAACAACAAGAGAGAGAGAGAGAGAGAGAGAGAGAGAGAGAGAGAGAGAGAGAGAGAGAGAGAGAGAGAGAGAGAGAGAGAGAGAGAGAGAGAG